TTATGTCGCGATGATTTCGATTTATTTTTAGGAATTTGTTCGGGCTCATCATATTTTTTCGCGGATTGAACATTTTTAAAGTTCAGTTCTTATCATTTTGTAAAAAGCAACAAAGTTCACTATCGAACAACAAAAAGTTGAAGGTCAGGAAAAACATAATTGACTTCTAGTTTCGAAAATAGAGTTTGTTTTCCAGGTGTCCTAGCAAAATGAAAATTTTACTCATTGATCAAGTTTTCTCAAATTGGGTTATTTTTATCAAAAAATGCCAATTGTAAAACGTTCTAGAACTTCAAAAAGCTATAAAAGCATCTAAATTTTTCTTTGAAATTCGAGACTTGAATATATAAAAAACAAGGTTTTTCTCTGTTTACTTGCGTTCATTCACTCTTTTCCAACTGTTTGATGGCTATTTTTTAAATGGCACCGCCAGTACTTCCTTAAATCGCGCCGTCAAGGATTTCTCAAATTGCGCACAGTGCGACTAGTAACTGTTACTGAGACTTGAGAAAAAAATAGGCGAGGCATCGTAACTAAAAAAAATTTGGTGTCACGACTTCTGAAAAAAACATTTGAAGACATAACCAAAACTAATGGCTAGGCGAATTAGAAAATGTTGAGTCGCGACGCAATTTAAGAAAAGACAGTGGTTCGCGCTTTAAGAAAAAAGATTTTGGGATGCAAATTGAGGACTCAAGGGATAACTGGCAGCGCGATATCAAAGGTCCTTGACGGCACTACCTAAAAATAGAATTGGATCCCCGGCGTAACTTAGGAAACAACTGTGGTTTGCGACTGAGGAAAAAGATTTCGGAATGCAAATCGATGATTCAAGAGATAACTGGTGACGCGACATTAAATGAAATAGCGGCTCGGAACCTTGGACCTTGGCGGCTCGGAACCTCGAACCTAGGCGGCTAAAGTTCCTCGCAAGCTTTGAACTTCAAAAAAAATGTCTGTCGGACATAAGAAAATACATCAACAACACGATTTACAAAACACTCTGAGCCACGGCCTGTCTTCAGAAATGATCGGTGCTTGGACATAATACATTGGGTAGTGTGACTTAGAAATTTGGCGGGGCGACATGGGAAATTATGTTGACGAGGCGACCTAAAATTTAAAAAAAAACTTTGAGCCTGGTCACGAGCTCAGAGAACAAAAACTAATTGATCAGACCTAAGAAAAGTTTAGAATGGCCGCGCGATTTAAGACAAGACTTTTTGGCGAATTTTACGAACAGACTTGGAGACAAGTCAAACTTCTGGAAAAAAAATTTACGGCGCAACTTAAGAAAACATTTTAGAACGGGGCGAGAATTAACCGCAAATTCTGATGGATGCGCGAATTTTAAAAAAATGGTGGCTCGACATAAGAAACAAGCGTCGACAAGGTGCTAATTGTAAAATGGTCTAGAACTTCAAAGAACTTTAAGAGCAGCTATTTTTTTATTTGAAATTCGAGAGTTGACTCATTAATAAACAAGGTTTTTCCTCTGTTTACTTGCGTTCATTCACTCTTTTCCAACTGTCTGATGGCTATTTTTTAAGTGGCACCGCCAGTAGTTCGTTAAATCGCGCCGTCAACGATTTCTTAAATTGCGCACAATGCGACTAGTAATTATTAGTGAGACTTCAGAAAAAATAGGCGGAGCATCGTAAGTAAAAAAAATGGTGTCATGACTTCTGAAAAAACATTTGAAGACATAACCAAAACCAATGGCTTGGCGAATTAGAAAATGTTGAGTCGCGGCACTAATGTTGTCGTAAATTGCGGGTAGTGCGACTGGTAACTGGTGGTGCGACACAGGGAAAAAACATGGCAGAAAAACTTGGCGTTGCGATCAAAGTGAAAAAATTTGGTAGCGCGACTTAAGAGAAGAATTAGAGCTGCGTCTTAAGAGAAGAATTAGAGCTGAAGAATCGGAGCAAGACTTAGTGAGAAAATTCAGCCACGCTGCAACCCAACTGTATTATTTTGACGTGCGGTGAGACTTAATCAAAATTGCTTGCGATGCAACTTCAATAATGTTGAGTCGCGGCGCGACTTTAGAAATGACTGTTGACTGCGGAACTTAAGAAATAACTTTGAACTGCGTGTGTTTCAAGAAAATAGTTTGAGTTGTGGCGCGATTTGTGAAAAAACTTTGGCGACTCGACTTTACAAAAGACACTGAGCTACTGCGCGTTTCCAGAAAAACTGACAGCTCATTAAAAGAAAGTAAACTGGCGGATCGATTTGAGAAAATAATTTGAACGCGATTCATGAACACGTTGACGACGCAATTTTAAAAATAATTTGAGCAACGGTGAGAAGTAAGGAAAAAATGGCGGCGCTACCTAGAAAAAACTTACTTAAGAAAAGACTATGGTGTGCGCTTTAAAGAAAACGTTTTGGGATGCGAACCAAGGACTCAAGGAATAACTGGCGGTGCAACAACAAGATACCTTGCGGCGCTACTTTAGAAGAAACTTTAAGCGTCGGCGAAACTTATAAAAAGACTGTGTCGTGCGACTTAAGAAGTTTTTAGGATGTGAATCAAGGACTCAAGGGACAACTAATGATGCGACATAGAGAACAAAATTGGCAGCGCAATAACAGAAAAGCTTGGCGTCGCGGCCAAAGTAAAAAAATTTGGTAGCGCTACTTGAGAAAAGACTGAGAGCTGCTGCTTGATTGCACGTTTTAAGGGAAAATTTGAGCCGCGGTGCGACGCAATTATTTTATCTTGAGCAGCGGCGAGGCTGATTAAAATAGCTGCTGGTGAAAAATTAAAAATGCGGCGCGACTTTAGAAACGACTGTTGACGGCGCCACTTGAGAAAAAACTTTGAACTGGGGTGTTTCAAAAATAGAGATTTTGAGCTATGGCGCGGTTTATGAAAAACTTTTGGCGACTCGAATTTACAGAAGACACTGAGCCACTGCGCGACTCCAGAAAAACTGGCAGCGCATCATAGGAAAGTACTATGGTGGATAAATTCGAGTAAACGTTTTGAGCCTTAGCGCGATTCAAGAATAAGTTGACCACGCGATTTTAAAAACACTTTGACCAGCGGCGAGTTTTAAGGAAAGATTTTGTGGGGCGAAACTTGAAAAAAAATTTGAACTGCGGCACGACTTGACAAAACGTTTGAGCAGCACCGCCGTTTAAGAAACGACGGGGCGTGACTTAAGAAAAAGGTTTTGGGATGCGAATCAAGGACTCAAGGGATAATTGGCAGCGCTACAACAAAGGATTTTGACAGGGCTACCTAAGAAAAAAAATTAAAGCCGCGTTGCGACTTCACGAAAACCGGGCCGCGTGACATAATTCATTCTATAGCGGCGCGTCTGAAGTTTTTTTCAGGCGCGCTTCTCTGGAATTGGTATCATTCAGTCGCGCTGATTGCGCTAGCTTTTTTATGTCGTTTCGGTCGCGGCCGTTTTTTCCAATTGCGCCCGTTTTTAATTGCCAAATTTTGGTCGCGCCTGTCTGGAATTTGCAATATAAAATCGCGCAATACAGTGCTGATTTAAATTAACCGGACAAAACGCGTTAAACTTGAAACTTAAAACGCGTTTTTCTCAAACTGGGTTGGGTTTAGGTGAAGACACATTTTCTTAAAATTTTAGCAGAAATAATATGGTGAAATTTGTTTTGCGAAATTCGGACCCAAAATATTGCCCCAAAAATGGGTCATTTTGACTTTTCTAAGTTAATCAAAAGTTACCCAAAAAATACCCAGTCAATCACAGACATAATTATATCAAAGTGAGCCTCTTACGTAGCCCAACATTTTTTACGAAGGGTATGTTCTCGAAAACATTGTAAAAGTTAATTTATTTTTGTTTGATAGACAAAAAAGGTCGTTTTTACTATAAAAAATACCAACTCTCTATTTAAAAACAACTTTTTAACGATTTGCATTTTTTTTGGAGAACACACCCTTGCTAAAAAATGTTGGACTACGTATGAGGCTTACTTTGTTACAATTATGCCTGTGATCAACTGGGTATTTTTGGCGTAATTTTTCATTAATTAAGAAAAGCCAAAATGACCCATTTTTGGTGTAAAATTTTGGGCCCGAAATTCGCAAAACAAATTACACCATATTAATTCTGCTAAAATTTTAAGCAAGTTTTGTCATGCTAAGCTTTCACCTAAACTCGACCTAATTTGAGAAAAACGCGTTTTAAATTTCAAGTTTAACGCGTTTTGTCCGGT